CTTTATGAAATTTTTATTTAGGACTCTTTTATGTTTGAAGGAACATTAAATATTACTGTCAGATTTTTATCAAAGTTTTTTAATATTAAAATGCAAAATAACAAGCATTACAAATAATACTTGTTACGTATCATTTTGAATCTTCTCTTAATCATAAACTTAGGGACAAGATTTTTTTTCCTTTTAAATTTAATTCCGTGATATATTAACATTTTTTTCTTCGACTTAGTATGAATTATAGCAACAACAAAAAAAAATTCTCGAGCATCTTTTCTTTTCTCTTCCGCTCATGCGATATTCAATTCAAGGAATTTAGGTAAAACATGACATTCATTCCCTCTATTCAAATGTAAATAATTTCGTCCAAAATGAGTGGTTTCAAAAAGTTAAAAGGGAGAATTTCTTCGAGAAAATTTCTGATAGAAAAAAAAAAAAAATAGAAAAAAGAGCAACATACACGATTATTTTTATATTTGAATAAATATTTTCTTGGATGCAAAACCTGAGAAATAAATTTTTTTGCACCGTTGGTATGTTAAATTTCACAGAAACGAAAAAAATAGGTTTTTTTTCTATCGAGAAAAGTGTTTGAAACCATTATATATTTTTTACGAAAATTGTCCGCAAAAAAATGAAAACTAATGTATTTCAGTTCGCGGGCCACAAAAAACGGCTTTGAGGACCGGATGCGGCCCGCCAGTTGGTAACCACTGTTACAGAGCATTATCACTATCATGTCATCACTTCTGAGGTCAAACTTGCATTAGTAAATATTCACTAAAATTATAGTATACCTAGTAATCTAGTATGGTTTTAAAAAGAGCATATTTGCCAATTAAAAGTTGTTTGAAGTCATCAATACAATGCTTTCTTGTTTAATTGGGCGCATCCTTTTGGGAAGAGAGTTTTCTGGTTGACCTAATGATTTTAATTCTCAAACAAAGGGTTTATAATGAGCCGTGGTGGTTCAGCGGATAGAGCTTTCGTTTACCAATGAGGTGAAATGGGTTCGAATCCTAGCGATGGCTGGTTGATACGAATTCTGCACCCGACTCGCACTGACCATAGTGCTGACGTAAAATATCCTCTGTGGTAGGTGGATCATGGTTTGAGCCTTTTTACCATCAGGCTAACCGAAAGAGGTGTTCATGGTTTTACTCGCCATATAACCCAAATGCTGGTTAGTTCCATTACAAAGTCCTTTAAGAAAGCAGATTTCTCACAATACTTGATGCAGGAGTTCTCTTATCGTTTGGACTAGGTTCAAAATTAAGTACATTACTAGTTGTAAGACTAGTAGTGATGTATGAGATGAACATTAGTCGTAATAAACCCAAAATTGGGTCGGCTGTTCAACGACAGTTATATATAAAAAAAAATTACATTGTATTGTTTATATAGATTCGAAAAAGTCAATAAATCAAGTTTTTAAGACATTATTTTTAATAACTCAGTCTTACTATTTGCAATATCTTTTGAATAAGCTGCAGTTTAAATATCGGTTTCAACCTTATGACTGTTATAAGTTGCCAATAGCAATCTTCTATCTATATTATATAAAACGCTAATACGTACGTATGTATGTATCAATAAAACCGATGATATTTCTTTTCTCGCGCTGGCAACAATTTTCATTTTTAATTGATTGGATTCGGCGCGCAAGAGCACGTAGTGAGCAACCAGATAACAATAACCAGAGTGAGCATTATCAGGTTGTTCAATTCAGATTCATGCACTAAAAACATGACAATATTTAATTTAAACTCAATTAGGAATTAATTAATTAATT